CTGTTTTTTTTTGGCGGTATCCATAATGGTGGCCGAGTAGATCATGTTATGCGGGGTCGAGAACCCTCACTCCGCGCGAGGGGGATGATCGCACCACGTTGTGTTAAAATGGTCAAGCACCCTCGAGGCAGTTACACAGTGCTTACAACTGTCTCTGGAAGTGAAAGCACCAGAAAATAAATTAAGTCATACGCAGCTGTCATCCGTACGCAAGGAAGTAAGCACAAGATGCCGAACACCCTTAGCAGGATGCAGCGCACCCTTCATGCGACTCGCCGAATATCTCACGGCGCTTCGCGCTTGGTGATGTGAGAGCCTGGTCCGGTGAGAACCCGGCGTGCTCCGTCCCGGCTTTGTAGGGATGCGAGGTCAAATGTCTAACGACCACGGCATGCACGACCATGAGTACACGCCCCCCGCCCCCCGGCGTTTGCCATCGGGGTTGGGTTTTCGTCCCTTGGCAACGACGTCGTATCACAAGCCAATTCACTTCGTGAGCTCGGCAACCAGGTCACCGTTGTTGTTTTGTTCCTCTGTTCTGCTTTGGCGGTGACCATAACGGTGGTCGAGTGGATCATGTTGTGCGGGGTGGAGAAGCCTCACTCCGTGCAAGGGGGAAGACCGCACCACGTTCTGTCAAATGGTCAAGCACCCTCGACGCAGTTACACAGTGCCCCCTGCTGTCTCAGGAAGTGAAAGCACCATGAATAAAATTAAGTCATACGCAGCTGTCATCCGTACGCAAGGAAGTAAGCACAAGATGCCGAACACCCTTAGCAGGATGCAGCGCACCCTTCATGCGACTCGCCGAATATCTCACGGCGCTTCGCGCTTGGTGATGTGAGAGCCTGGTCCGGTGAGAACCCGGCGTGCTCCGTCCCGGCTTTGTAGGGATGCGAGGTCAATGGTCTAACGACTACGGCATGCACGACTATGAGTACACCCCCCTTCGTTGTACCTCCGTCAAAGGCACAAAAACGTGTTTTTTGCCGGATTCGCTTGACGAAAATGTCATTTTGAGGATGCTGTCGAGAGCTGGCGGATGGGATTATATATATATTGTCCTTACTTCAATTCGTTTGTTTCGATACTATCGCTCCGTGTGAACATCCTTGTCAATTAACGGAAGGCATACAGAGAGACGGGTCGGATCTTCGTTCGCACGACGTCTGTAATAATAGTCCATGACCGTGGATAACATCTCGCTGATGCTTTATTCTGAACTAGTCTGCTGCGCCAATAAACAGGTACGTGTGGGCAAGCGTGCACTCCAAATCATCACTAGGTGGCATTCGGGACTTGAGCAAGCATGTGGGCTCTCTTACCAATCCCACGACATTTCCGGTAATTGTTTCGCTGGTCTTCTTGCCGTCTCGAGGAGGCCCTTTGTCCGAGCTATCCCCATCCCAAGCTGTCTCCATCGGGATGGGGACAGCTTGGACAAACGGCCTCTTCGCCACGGCAAAAGCGTCGAAAACATACCCGGAAACAACGTGGGATCGGCAAGAGAGCCCACTTGCTTGCTCAAGCCTCGAATGCCACCTAGTGATTTGGAGTGCACGCGTGCCCACACGTACCTGTTTATTGGCGCAGCAGACTAGTCTAACAGTCCATGGCCGTTGATAACATCTCCCTGATGCTGTACTCTGAATGTTGTTCCAAAATCTCCCGCGACATCCCACCGCAACATCCACTGGAGCGTTTTTGTCTGCTTACACCACTCGCTCGCAACCCCCCCGTCTTCCATCTTGATAGATCCTGTCTTCATAAACGTCTTTTTTCGTTCCGTTTTTCTCTACATTTTCGTCCGGTCCCCCCCCTTCCCCCTTGTCCTCGTGATAAGTCTTTGCCCGCCGCTGAGCGACGTTCCATGTGTGTTGACCTTTACGTCGTAAATAGTAGAAGGTGTTCTGACTCGAAATCGAGCTGAACTCACAAATCTCCCGACAGCTCAAGGACAACACAAGCACTTCAAAGTAGATAATGACAGCCACTTTCCCAGGCATCACCAACATGAAGACCTTAAACAGAGGCAATGATTCATCTCCTCTCGTCGTCGCCACGACGGAATGATCGACGCTCTGCTTCTTCTCTTCCCCGATCCACGTGCAGCAAATGGAGCCAACAGAGACGCTATGTACCTGGGAACAGGAGCTCAGGCCGCCGCTGGAAGAACCGCTGTTAGGCGAAGTCGCCGAAGCCATTATCTGGAGCGACACCTGGGCGGAAGTCCCGTCGCTGGACTCCTTCTCGGAGCCCATCTGTTTGGAAAACCGCACGAACAGGCAGTTGTCCAACGTAACGGCAAGGCTTCGAAATATGTCGATCGGCGACGAGATTCCTTGATGGGCTTATTTTTATGTATTTAGTCTATCGCCTTCACTTAAAGTCAGTGCTCACAGCACTTGTGCGTGGCGTTTTCTCGAACCTGCGTTCACACCGTAGGGTTCCCCAGAGGCACCCTACCCATCCCTCCTGCGGTACTTTGCCTGCGATCTTTTATGCGAAAAGAGTGCAGCTCTCTCGTCCCTCTGTGTACACACGAACAACAAGTGCGTTCCACACAGGCCAGGAACATATTGACTGCACGATAAACTTTCTTTACGGTGACTTCTGTGTCGAGTTTGCATGAATAATTAGTCGAGGAGCTTCAATCCTGATGAAACCTGGTGGATGGGTGCATTGTTGCTTCACCGTCTCTTGTTGTATTTGGCACCCCTTTTAATCGTTGAAGGTGTAAGACCGTAGCAGAGTTCTTGCTCGTATACTCGTTGACAAGTCGAGGACACAGTCCTTTTTGTCTTCGTCTCGGGCTCGCGATTTCGTCCCTCTGTAACTATACGTGGTGGGGGCGCAAGTGGCGAAACGCCTTCATTTTGCAAGACTTAGAGCCCCGCGGGGCACGTATGTAGAACGTGAACATCCATCTCCAAGAAACGAGCGCCTAGCTGACCTTGACTGCTGTGTTTTGTGACCTGTGGGAGGAGATCTCTTCAGCATGCATGACACGTACCCCGCGGTGTAAGGCTCTGCGGTATTGTTACGGTTACATGGTTACGGTTGATAGGAGTTGCACCTTTGGGAGAATGCGTTGTTCCCAACAGGTACTAGCAGTAAGGTCCAGTTTGCCGGGCCCCGTCTTGAGGCTAGGATTGCTCAGCCCCCCTGCTTGACTACTTCTCCTTGCTTGCCCTGAGTTAGCAATATTCAACAAGCAAATACCGTATCCTACAACCGGAGACCTTCCACTCCTTGTCACAAGCCACCTTCGACGCTCACTTCTACCGCTGTTCTGGCTCATCTACCGAACTCGGTACCGATCGAGAGGCAGCTACCATCAGGTCGGTAGCAGTGCTTGTAGGCTGGGGTTCCATGGACAATCCGCTGTGGACAGTTCCTCTTGACATCTAGGGTCCTGTCACTTGAATGATTAGAGACCACACAGACCCACACAGACATTGGGCCAGCCCCTACCCCTAGCCTCTCCATCAGTTTTATGGTGTCCAATCCGAGAATCGAACTCGGGTTTCCACTACTTCTCCTTGCTTGCCCTGAGTTAGCAATAATCAACAAGCGAATACCGTATCCAACAACCGGAGACCTTCCACTCCTTGTCACAAGCCACCTTCGACGCTCACTTCTACCGCTGTTCCGACTCATCTACCGAACTCGGTACCGATCGAGAGGCAGCTACCATCAGGTCGGTAGCAGTGCTTGTAGGCTGAGGTTCCATGTACAATCCGCTGTGGACAGTTCCTCTTGACATCTAGGGTCCTGTCACTTGAATGATTAGAGACCACACACAGACCCACACAGACATTGGGCCAGCCCCTACCCCCAGCCTCTCCATCCGTTTTATGGTGTCCTTCCGTGTCTTTGCTGTAGACGAGCCGTTGATGCGCTCGTCATGCTGTAGCCGTGTGGCTTGTAGGCCCTTTCTTTCGCGTCCCTGTCTTTTTTTTCCTCTGCTCGCTTGCACGTTTTGGCGCGTTTTCCTTTCTTTCCTTATCATGCGCGCGCTCACCCGACAGCGGCCTGCGGCTTCTTTCAGTCCGGCGTGCACACACCCTATAGAAGCTATAGAAGCTGAAATCAACCCATTAGACTAGTCAGCGGCTGACTAGTCTAATGGGTTGATTTAAGCTTCTATAAAAGTACGTCGTGGGTTGGATACCCAGTCGGTGCACTTTTTTCTGGAAACGTTCGACTCTTGCGAGAGTGAGAGAAGGAAAAAAGCTCGTCGTCGGAGACCCTGGACATCCATTCTAGAACGGATGTGGGTGATGAGTCGAGAATAACGGGAGTGAAATAGACATTGGATGGATAGTAGCGGCTGGCGAGGGGAGCATCCCTCCTCGGAAGGAAAGTGTCGGGTTCTCCGAAGGCAACGGGCGTGGTTTTCTTGTATTTTTTCCACTGCCCGTTGGCGCCACCGCAATAGCTGTTTCTGTACCCGCGTGGATAGCTTGTTGCCACTGGTCAGTTGAACTACCAGGTTGATAGGATCGAGTGAACACTGATGGGTCGTGTCTCTCGCACCTGCGGCCCCACAGCAGCACACTCCCCGTGCGGCAGCCAGAAACGATGATGGTGTGAAAAGTGCGTAAGGCCGATAACTCCGGGTCGACCTGCTCGCTTGTTTTGAACCTTGTGCATGTTTGGGATCATCCTCGTGACCTCTCCTCCCTGGTAAAGTCTCACATTCGGCAGTAACCTGTTGACCACTGTGGTTTCAGAACGAACGCTATTTTGGTGGGGTTGGGCCTCTCCTAGGTTGCCCCTCCTTCCCACCCTACTTTCTGGTACCGCGGCGTCTGACGCTCGATCGTACCTCGATTAAAGCCGTCCTGATTGCCGCACGCCTGCCTGCGGTTCTATTCATCATGTGTAGCTATTTTCTTTCGCAGGTTGGATACGTGTGCCGTACAAAGCATGGGGCTGTCGTTCCCATAGTGTTATATCAGCATCTTTTTTTTGCTATACAAGGCATATAAAGATTAGTTTGATTTTTTCTTCACGAAAGTAAACATCAAGTAACATTTTTTTTTGCTGCTCCCTTAACGAGGTGTGCTGCTATCGTCTTAGTATTAGGTGGTTGAATTGATTTTTTTTTATATGCATGGCCCTAATCTTTTTTTGATTAAGTTCTAAAGTCTGGTTNCAGCATCTTTTTTTTGCTATACAAGGCATATAAAGATTAGTTTGATTTTTTCTTCACGAAAGTAAACATCAAGTAACATTTTTTTTTGCTGCTCCCTTAACGAGGTGTGCTGCTATCGTCTTAGTATTAGGTGGTTGAATTGATTTTTT